ATAATTCTAAAAAAAAAAAAAAGCAACTGGGGTCAGCAGGTGGCATGGTGATTAAGATGTTGGACTCCCATCATAACCAACCTCATTTTGAGTCCCAGACCTGGCAGCTAGCTTTCTCACTTTCCCTCTCTGTCTCTGTTGAGCACACATGCCTTCCTATAGCAAAATGAAAATTAAAAAAATACTAATAATAATAAGAATAATTAATTTTAATTAAAAATGTAACTTTAAAAATGTTTTAAAAGATCAGATTGTCTTGGGACCAGCAGTTGGCGTAATGGCTATGTCACTGGACTCCCACGTAGTCAACCACAGTTCGCGTCCTGGACCCGGTGGCTTAAAATTCACGCCGGGCGCGTGTGCATGCGTGCCCAAGATCCTGAGAGGAGAATGGAGGAGAAGGCATTGTGGCGTGGCCACCCCCCCTCCGGGGGTGATTTCTCACTTTCTGTCTCTCTGTCCTTCTCTGTCGGGCGAGCGCACATGCCCTATAGCAAAAAAACAAAACAAAAAAAAAAAATGAAAAAGAGAAAAAGAAAAAAAAACAAAAAAAACCTCTCAAAAAAAAAAAAAAGATCAGATTGTCTTAAAACAAAGTGGGGAAGAAGAATCTTTGGAAATATGCTGAACCCCATAAAATTGTACGTAAATTTTTAGATACACAACTTGCTACTTATCGCTACCTGAGGTTGTCTTATTTATTGGTGTACTTGGTTCTTTTCTGTTTCTCTATCTTAACAAAATACCTGCCATGAGATTAGGGAACTGAACTGTCTCCTGCCCTCCCGTGTACCTTTGTCCAGATCACTATCTAATACAGAATCTCTCTTTGAGAACTACGTGAGATCACCCATGTGAAATGCTTCGCCCAAGAACTGTAGAAGGAATAAAGAGAGGGAGGGGAGGAGGAAAGAGGGAATGAGGAAGGAGGAAAGAGAGGGAGGGGAGGAGGGCAGAAGGGTTGGAGGAAAGAACAATTGAAGCAAAGAAAGAAACAAAACTATGCAAATACCCATTTTTCTTGGCAGAAGTTTTCGAACTTTTTCATATGCTCAAAGGGATCTGTAACTAAAAAAAAAAAAACGGAATGACTAGTTTTCAACTTTAAAAGCTGCCTCTCATTATCTCCTCCGCTCTTTTGCTCACAAGC